GATCGAAATCTTATTTCAATATTTTATAAAGAACACTAAAAAACACTCAAGGTATCTGCATTATGGAAAAATGTACATATATTATTTTCTTCCTTTAATATATGTGAGAATTATCAATTGCAAAATCCGGTTTAGGTTTTCTATTTTATGTAATTTATAGAAAACCATTATAATTTTACAAAGAGGTGAGAAAACTCGATGTAAATAAATACAAAGCCTTTCTTTTTCATTGTTAATAGCAAACTAGACGTGGCAAATAGAATTTGTAGTGAGTGTAGTTATAAATTTTTAGTGGTGCAAATAAATGCATCTTTTGGACACAACCCAATTACCCTGTAGCCTCTTTACCCATATAAACAACACGAAACCACCTAAGAGACCCTAAGCAAGAAATACGATTTAAAAACACACTTTCTATGGGTGCACTCCCATAATTAAATTAAATTTTATTTTACCCTTACACCTATCTTCTTTCTTCTTTAGTGTTTATTTCTAGTTTTTAAACCTTTGAATGTCTGTTTTTTAAAACCTACCCAAGCATTTTCATTCTTCTTTCTTCTATTATTCCAAGAATTGCAAGAAACAAGTAAGAATCAACAACTGTTTTTAATTTGTATCAATTTTTTCCCAATAAAAGACTGAAAACATGTTTCGGCCATTGAGAATATAATGTTGAAAAAATTTCCAAAGAATATATTCCCGAAAATGAGTTCCATAATACATTTCTGAAACTGATTTTTTAAAAACTCATTTTGAATTGGTGGATTCAGAATAAATTTCTGGATTATTCTAGATCCACTAATCCAAAATGTATCTAGAAAATCAATTTCGAGAATATTTTCTAGAAAGTGGGTTTTAGTTCTAGAAATGTATTCCAAAACTTATTTTCTAGAACATGTTTTTAGAAAGAAAAAAAATGGAATATATTTTTGGATTGATCTTTACAGAAACGCACTATGGAATATCTAATTTAGAATGTATTTTTAAATTGACTTTTAAAGAAAAACATTATGAAATGGATATTCCAAAATATATTCTAGATTAAGTGTTTCAAAACTCAATCAATTTTTGTAACATTATTTCAAATCGAGTAATCTGAGTCTCAATATATAATTTAAATGTAGAAACATAAATTAGATACATGATATTAATGATTACTCATTCTTAAATAAAGATCCTAATAAAAAAAGATGGTGGGAAATGTAGAAGATGAGCAATAAAAGTGTATAACTTTTGCTGGAAAATAAAAGGAGACAGGGATTAAAAAAAGATTATAAGAAGGATATTTAACTTATTTTATTTGAAGTATAGAGATACATGGAAAAAATTATCAGGTGCAGAAAGAAAGTGTCATTAAAAAGAGGGTAATTGACTGAAAAAAACAAAGTATACAAATATAAATGAATTTTACTTTAAACTCTTACTATTGAAACTTTGCAATCTAAATTAATGTGTTGGGTTGGGTCGCTTCTTACAGAAGCAAAATCCCTTTTCAGTTAATTTAATTAATATCACTTATTTCCCTTCTCTCTTCTAGAGTTGACTCTCCTTAATCGATTTAATTAAATACATGGGTTAGGTGATAAAATTAAGAAAAGTATTTTTTTTAATATCTAGTTATTAAATCTTGTTTTTTTTTTTTAAAACCAAACATAAAAATGAATTCTGAAAATCTATTTTTAGAATAAGTTAAAATTTTTTAGTTGATAATTTTACTTTTAAAATTTATTTTAAACAAAGAAACTGATTAGATAATTATAAAGAATCGTGTAAAAAATTAATAAATAATTTTATGATGATAAAAACAAGTGTTTTGATATAATTATTGGTAAAAGTATTAATATTCACTAAGAAAACAAAAAATTAAATAGAAAATACTTTTTATCATTTCCTATTTTTTAGTTTTTAAAGATTAAAAAATAAAAACGGAATAAATATATACACAAACTGATTCTTTTCTCAAACTTTATAAAATATATTTTTTCCTGAACCTATAGTTTAGCAACTTGACCAATAAATTCATAAACTAGGTTTTATATGCATCCTTATCTATCCACTTGTTTTCAAATTATATTTTCTACAAAATTAATCCTTTAATATTTACAATTAATGTGATTTAAATTCAATTGTATTCTTCTTTCCTTCTCTTTAAATTTGTTATCGTTTACCAATTGCTTTTTAAATTTTATTTATGTTTTAAAGCAATTTGCAATACTTGCACTTTACATTAATTACAGATTACAAGTTTACTTTCTAAACGCTTTAAATTTTGTTTGCATTTACATTTCTTCACTTTTGACTTTACAAATCTTCAATCACACATCATTTTCCACCCTTACTCTTTTCTTTTATGATTCAAATTTAATCCAATAACATTAATGAGTTTTCATTTTGATTCAGTCTTTATATGTATAAATTTTAGTTTTAGTCCATAATTTTTTATTTTATTTTTATCTCTCCAAAAATTATAATCATCTCTTTTAATCTTAATATTCATTTTAAAATAAATAAATGAAATTTTGCTGATCTTAATAATTTATAATTTATGTTGAGGTAATATCGTATCGATATTATATTACAGTACTAATATTCGTTATAGAATAATCAATAAACCTTTTGTTGAATAAAAATGAGTTAAATTTTATCATATAATATTAGAATAAGAAAATATTATTTTTAATTTTAGACAAGTAAAAAATAAATAATATATTTTTTAATAAGAATCAGATCTAAAATTAAAATTCATGGACTAAAACTATATTTAAACATTTTACTATAGAAAGTCAATATATTACAATTTTTTTAATTCCACACTAATGTAGTCATGTTTTTTTTGTGATTTTTTTATTTAATCTTTAATGTTTTGTAGCAATTTTTTGTGATTTTTTTAAAATCAAGATAGGATGAAAAAAAAAAGATATTTTAATTTTTAACATTAATTTATATTCACAAGATAAAATAAGAGAAGAGAGTAAATATTTTTAAAGTAAGAAAAAAATCCAAAATATATTATTTTTTTGTGATTTGAATATTCATCCACCCATAAAGAAAAACTTGTTAATAGATTAATTTTATGAACAACTCAATAGATCATAGATGAATCGATTTTTTAAATAAGTTTTGATAAATTAAAATATATTAAATATTAATTTGTTTTTATCAAAGATTAAAATTTATCTCATTCAACTATCTTACCACTCTTAAATTTCTTGCTCATATTTAGTTGCAAAATTTAGGTCAAATGACTTATATTTTCGTAAACTTTACTTTTGAAAAATTTTCTACTTTTGTGTTTCATGTATTCGGCAGACTTTTAATTGCTTCGAATTTTTATACGTTCAATTAATGATTTTGTTTGCAAAAATTAAATTTATTATCTTACCCATTAGTCACAATGTCAATCACAATTAATGTTAACTTATATTAATTATTCATTCAACTTGGAAATGTCACGTTACTTGTTTGAAAATAAAAACTCATAATTTACAATTTTTCTAAGTTTTACAAATATGACATATACTGTCTAAAGTGTCTCATAAATTCATGTTTTCAAAAAATATATATATTTGAAATTAATTTTGACAATTTTAATGCGACAATAAAAAGATAAGGAGCGAAAAAGAGAGGGAAAATAGTGAAAAGTGATTTTATTGTGTTAGGAAAAAATAGTGAAAATAAGTTTGTATTTATTTATGATTTATTTGATTGAAATTATAAAAATTCATAGTTATCTCTTTTTAGTCATAGTCCAAAATAATCTTATAAAACTTATCCAACATGTCATGGTCTAGAGTTCATAGTTTTTTTTTTTCAAGAAAATTTTAAAAAAGTTTTATTTTATTGAATTAATAATTACGGAAAATCAAAATTAATTTAATTGAAATAAGAAAGATGTGAAATGAAAATAGGTTATTAATTTAAAACTTTCATTTCCTAATTAACATAGCCCACTTTTGACCGAGCAAATAAGAAGTGAAATAAATAATATATTTCTTATTTTTCTTAAAAAGTAATTGATGATACCTTCCAACAATCAACACCTTAATTACATATACTCTGTACAAGTTACAATATTACTCTGTATGCTCCAAGATAATGTGTAACAAGAAAAAATAAGTATTATTTTATCTTTTTTTAATAAAATATTAATTATTATTTTTTCATAAATACTTTTAACTAGTATTATTTTAGCATTTGAATATAATCTTTGTCCCATATATCACGTATTAAGAATAGTAATTAAGAAATAGACATTTTTTTAAAATTGTTATAATGAATGAGGAAGTAGTAATAATAGTGTAAGGTTAGTTTTATAAATTTATCATTTTCTTTTTTTTTAGTTTATTTATAAAAAACATAAAAATATTAATGGTTAGAAAAAAATAATATATTTTAAAAAGTCTGATAAGAAAGAAGTATGTGATAATAATTATATAATAACTTGAAATTTAAAGTTTATAATGATTTTATAATGTCAAAAACAGTTTAAGTATTTTAAATTTGTATTTGATTTTTTTTTAATAAATTTTTGAAAAATTTAAATGTATTTAAGGTAATTTGAATATATTTAAGGTGAAAGGATATAACAGAATAATCTATATATACATAATCATATTATCTAATTATTAGTAAACAACGGTGATGATTTTTCTTTCCATTTTAGAGTTTTTACAATATATTAATTATTTTTATCTTATTTTTTTATTAGATAATTCTCAATAATAAATAGATAGGTTTATGTTTTTCTTTTCAATAGAAGGAGGAGTAAATATAATTTGGAATACATAAGCAAGATGAAGCTTTTATTCGATCATAGAAACAAAAAACACTCGAAACAAGATTTGGAGCTATGTTACAATCTTCAAACCGCTAAAACCCTACGCCATGGTAACAGTTTCCCAGCACTTGTATGTAGTCACCAAACAAGACAATAAGATTTAACGCAGATGAAGAAGAGAAAAAGAAGAAGAAGAAGAAGAAAAGGGTGGTTATAACCAATATCAGTTGACATTATTATCAGATGTGACTGATGATGGATGCACCCTGTTCTTTCCGGCATAAGAAGTAACCACTTTTTTCTCTTTGGCATTCTGTCCAACTTTTCCCTCTCTTTCCTCTTTCGTTCTCTTCATCCTCTCCTTATGCCTCTTCTCCATGAACAAAATTTGAGCCGAAAGTGCTCCAATGGAAGACATGTTATTCTCTGCAAAAAGAACAACACTGTGTAACTGCTAAAAAGTTTAAGTAATTGGACTTTGGCTTATGAAATTAGCGTTTCCAAAGATGGAATTTATAGGATTTGAAATTTGATGTGAGAGTGACGTTACCCTTGAGGTTATGCCTTTGCTTTGCAACGACCATAATGAGTATTAATTTAATTGACGCAAAACAGAGTGCCATGTTGTCATCTTGCATGGAAAACGACCCTAAAAGTGTAGTGTAGCCACGTTGCCCTCGTCATATCATATGATGTAAGTTGAGTAAATTTTTTTGTTTCTCTGTATTTTTTATTAAACTTGATTTTTGCTCCTTATATTTTAAAAATATGTTATTTAATATTTTTATCCTTAAATTTAATATTTAGTGATAATCTTTTAGTTTAATAGAGTTGATAAAATAATTGACTATGATTTTAAATTTTACTTTATACCTAAATTAAAATAGTTTAATATTTAGTAATAGTATTTATTTTAAATTTAATAAAATATTAAATTTATATTTTGTTTTTAAATTTGACAACTAATTAGGCAGTTGTTGAACATGGAAATTAAAATTAATTTTATTAAAATTTATTGGAAAAATTTTTAGATTAGTGTGAAAACTTATTTAGAATAATATTTGAATAAAACTATAATTATTTCATTGAAAATATAATATTTTTTTCAGATTATTTTTTAAAAATCCCTTTGCAGTGGAATGCTGCATTGTTATATTTTCTAAATTATTCTTAATTAACTGACAATTTTTTACTAAAAAAATAGTTAATATTTGAAAATAAATAATACAAAGTTTTTATTTCCTAATTTTATTTTAAGAATAAAAGTGCTCGTGATTCATAAATATCTCCCTCGACTACTTTATTAGCTTTAAATATAATAAGGATAACTCTAGAAGAACACCAATAAAAGTTATTTTATTTATTGCAAAGATGGGAAATAGTTGAAAAGGTCTTTTAACAACTAGTGTGGTAAGTTAAAATATTTGTTTTTTTTATTATCATTATTAAAATGTCATCAATGCAGCTCTAATACGATTTTCAACGGATTCTTCACGTAAAAATAAAAAATTGAAATTTATCTTAAATTATTTTACTAATAACTAGTATATTTTCTAACCGTATTTCTTTTGGACTAATGTAAAAAAAAAAACTAAATTTCAAAATATCTGATTTAATGATATTATTTTAAAAAAAAATAAGCTTATCTTTGAACCTAAACATCATTGTCAATGTATATAAGTTGAAGGTAATATAGAGAAAATATATTTTATAAAGAGAATATTAAAATAGATAATTTTGTTTTCAGTTAGACCCAATTATTATTTATTAGAAAGATATAAGTAGCGGATTTTATTGGGAGCTGAAGGGGCCTTGACCCTCAAAAGTGTTGTAGCTACTCGTATAATTTATGATTTTGACCTAAAATATATGAATATTTAATATATTTATTTGTATATTTATAATTTTATCCTCTCAACGTCTCATCAGTTTTGTAACTCATATAATTTATGATTTTGTTCTCCTCACACAACGATCATTTAATATATTTAAGTATATATCTAGAATTTTATCTTTACACCTTTTCATCTTTTTTCTTTCTTTTATATTTATTTATTATTTATTAATAATATATTATTTGACCCCATATTTTAATCAGTAATATATTTTTGTTGTTGTAACTTTCATTAGTTATACATGAAAAGTAACTAATAATTAAGAGTATTTTGATAAACATAATTAATGTAAAAGATATTTTAAATTGTTTTTTATTAAAAAAGGAAAACTTATAAATTAGTTCTTATAAAAAAAGGAGATTCTGGCTAGAGAAAGTAATATATAGAATAAAGGAACCTGTAATTAGTTCTTATGAAAATGACCACTGGAAGTAATAAATGTTTGACTTATAATTTGCAAGTAGAGAGTGTGCTGTCAAAATGGCTCACCCACACTCCACATAGCTTTAGCCCAGATGGGCCGAAACAAAAAAAATTAGAAGATAAAAAGCCCAAATATATATTAACAGATTACATGGGCCAAAAAGCCCAAAATAAAAAAATTACTATATCCTAAAGTAAATCATTAATCTTTAATAAAAAAAAGGTTGTGTTTTTTTTTTCATCCCAATAATTAAATAAATCTTATTTTATCTTTATATCTTTCTTCTCGAAGTCTCATTGTTTCTACTTTTTAACTCCTACATCATTCCGCGACGCTTTAAGGAATTAAAAAAAAAGAAAATTATTTTATTACAAAAAAAATGTTTTTTTAGAGGATTTTTAAATACACGTGTTATACGTTTTAAAGCATAAATTACCAACAAATTTATATTTTTAAAGATAAAATATATTTGAATGGAGGCACCAGGTAGAATAGGAAAACTTAACTCAAAAATAGGATTCAAGAGCACCAGAATATTTTTTGATATTTTATATATATTATAGGGTGTAGGAATAAATTATTGGGATGCAGGAAAAAAAAACCGTTGAACTTTTGGTCTAGCCCATTCAATTTCAGCCCAGTACGTAAGTTGATGAACCCACTTTTATAAGCTAAAAAGCCCACTTAAACTTTGTGTAAATAAATCATCAAACTAAATATTTTAAAAAATTAACATTAAAATCAAATTTTTATCCAGCATGTAAAATATTTAAACCCATTTGTTACTCAATCAATGCATGTAATGTAAAAGTTAATTGAAATAGCATTGGCCATGGGAAAGAAACGGAGCCAATGTATAGAGACATGATAAAAAAACATATACAACTTGGATTATAAATTGGAATATAATAACAGAGTAGCGAGAATAAAAATTTCAAGCTTCAATGTCAGTACACAATTTTACAGTATAAGATAAATAATTAAATTTCTTATAAATTGTAAATTTTTTCACTTGTAACCATATCTGCCAATTGATTTAATAAATAATTTAATTTAATAAAAAATGTATTTTATGATTAAAATAGAAAAAAATCTAATTCGAATTTTAAGATAAAGAAGAATAAGTGGATTTTAAAATGTATTACTAGAAAGAAAAATGGTGATGCTAAGCGTGATCTCATCATTGCGAATGAACGTAGTTTTTAAAATACTAAGCTTTAAGCACAGAAACACATGAATTGAATCATCTCTGTTTTTGTGCGTGGAATTATGACTCCCTGTGTTGCTCGAAACTGTCAGATACAGAATTAATTGATGAGTTTAAGGTCAATCTATAAATGATTTGAAACCATACCAGTAGTCGAGAAAAAAAATTGAAAAATAAAAAGTTGAATTATATAAACCCTAAACCAAAGAATCATGAATCTGTGGAGGTGGCATCCGAGGGGTTTCTATTCAGGGCAGTCACCACCTTGTATCGTATGCAAGTTGAAAAAGAAAAATTATTCCTTTTGGACATTGGATAAGCCAGTTAGTGGACTAGCTTTGGCACCTTCTTTTGCATAATTAATGACTATTAATTAATTGTGAATAAGAGAATTGGATTCCTTTGGAAGCCTCTCTCTTAGTTGATGTTACATTGTTGACCTTTGAATTCTGCCTCTGCAACTTGCTGGCTGGTGTTTAGTGGAGTTCATAATTTCTTCATTTTTTTTCCACATCACTCATAAAATGTGTCTCTTTCTTCTTTTCTATGATTTGGAAAACAACTTCACCCCATTGTCTTTTGTACTTTTGTATGCTGCTTTGCTTGGGTGGATTTTATTGTTGAGAAAGCCGAACCATTTACAGAACACACTGTGACTAGGACCAATATGGCTGAACCAGCATAAGTTCCTCCCTTGACTAGGTAGCAGTCACCATTCAACCACCCTACCCTATATGCCTGTCTTCTGTTCATGCTTGTGGCTACAATCAGTAAAATAGCTGCAAGTCCAAAGCTCACCCTGCCAAATATCATCATTTTGGTCTCACAATATAAACTTCAAAGTCAAGAAACCATAATCTCAATATTGTTAACCCTTATGCAATTGCACAAGTTTTTTCTGGTTGTTCAAGAGGAATATTTTATTAGTATTGTGGCCTCCTTTTCTCCGAAGTGAAACATTTTGCCAACCTGTTTCTAATAATGGCATGTCACATGGCACAGTTTCCCATGGTGATCTGGCTTTTTTCTATCCAAAGCCAATAAACATAAGACAGGTTCCATGATGTCCATTTTTCAGATTTTAAAGTTTGTGTTTGAATTTAAAACTTGGAACAATTGTGACAATTTTTGTGGCAAAATGATGATCATGCATAAGCCAATAATAAATTAATCAGCTTCGTGTTCACAATCTCTAATTGGTGAATGTGAAGTAACAACCTAACAACATATGTGCAAAAGATTAAAAACCTACCAAGATATCAAAACCAGAACCTTTGCAACAGCAGGCATCTTGTACTGGGATGTACTTTTTCTTCTCCAACAACAATTCCTTAATATTAATATAGAATTCCCAATCATCTGGGCAAGAAAGAAACTAACCAAAGCTGCTATTCCCAATCCAAAGGCCTTGCTTGATGGCAAATAACACAGCTTCCCATTCCACCTGAGATCCTTCTCCTGCATAGCATACCAAAACTAACAATTAATTATTACCCTTTTCAAAATTGCAGGACTAAAAATTGAAGCAATCAATATAGTTGTAAGCATTTCCACCTTATTTCTCTTTATCTCGGCTGCTACACACAAGACAAATGAAATTAAGCCAAGGGAGAGGGAAATGATGATGAAGAAGATGGGTGTAAATTTGAATCTAGGAGGGTTTTCCATGGTGAGGTGGTTGTTTGTATGAAGAAGAGGCATGAGAAGAGAATACACAGTAATGAATAAGTTTTGGAACCTTCTCAAGAAACAGAAAGATGAGATGGTGCTACGAAGGTGTTATAGCCACACCACTTTTTCTTGAGTTCCTTTTCTTATGATGTTTGAGATTTCTTAATAAGTCTACCATTGCTTTGAAGAAGATACCATCACCCGTTGAATATTAAGTGCTTTTGGAAAATTCTTGTTTGCACAAACTATGGTGGCATTCTGATTAGATGGTCAACTTCTGTAATAGTTTACTGCTACGACATGTTATGCATTCTATAAACATAAGCCTCACTAAAACAGTGATAAGAGTAAAAATAGATTCATAACATGTTTGTTTAGTGGTTAAGGAATCAAACCTTGTCCCTTTGAATTGTGGCTAATAAGGAGAATTAATATGTCAACGGTTCATAATTCCTTTTCGTATACTGTTTGAATGGTCAACTTTGGATGACCATGAACACACAGCACTTGGATTTCCATTCGTTTTCCTCTTCTTCCACTATCTTTAGAGTAGACTCAATTGGAAGAATCTCAATTTGATCTCCAAAATCATTAAAAACATGCATCCAGTTATATATTCGAATGGTTATTAGTTTATAAAAATGGAGAATTAGTAGTTAAGGAAATTGTAAGTAATGCTGTAAAAAAATGGTACTTTTTCTGAATAATTTAACAATATAACGGGTATAATAAGTGTCAATAAAAAAAGGAAATAAATAAATAACATAATAAATATTTATATCTTTCCAAATTTATATATAATTTTAATCCAATCAATATGATATATTATTTTATTATTATTGTTGAAAAACATTAAAATTACATACATTTTACCACAAATAACAAGTAATTTATATCTTAAATATTTCTTAAGAAATATATCTAATATTGTGTTTGGATTAAGGGGTGGATTTACATTAAAATTACATACATTTTACCACAAATAACAAGTAATTTATTTCTTAAATATTTCTCAAGAAATATATTTGTGTTTGGATTAAGGGGTGGATTTGAGAAAGTAAAAAAAAAAGAAAAAATAGTGAAAAATAAGGTTATTTGAATTAAAAGAAAGAGAATGAAAAATTATAAAAATGAGCGAAAAAATTGTAGAAGATAAGATTGAATAAAAAAAACTAAATAATAAGGTAAAAAATGCATTGACCGGAATACATTTATCATTTTAAGTAACAATAGTATAAATTAAAATTATTGGTATAATTTAATATAAATTAATTAATTTATATCATAAATAAAAATTTATATATTAAAATAAATTTATATATAAATTATAAAAAATAATTTGTGATATTTTAGAGAAATGTTTAAATATTATTTTTTGTAATTATAAAAATTTATAAGTACTTTTAAATTGAAAAAATTGTTTTAGAAATTCTTTACAAATATATTTTAAAATTATTTAAATAATTAATTACAAATCAAATACAAATTTTTATTTCACATGCTAATTAATTAATTAATATATATATATATATAATAAAAAAATCATAACAAAAAGTTTTATTTTTTATTTTATAATATAAATTAGATGTAATTATGTTATTTTGTTTCTTATGTTTTAAAATTAAATAAATATATTTTCTAATAATATTGTACTTATTTTTTAATGAGAATTTTTGTTTATATTTTTCACAAATTATACCGATAAATTATTTAAATCTTACCAAATTTTAACTATAATTAAAAATAATATTTTCTTTAAATATCTATTAATTGTAATTTTTGTTTAAATTATTATTGAATTTTAACTAGAATTGAAAATATTATAAATTTTTCATTTTAAATTTCTATTCATAAATTATCTATACTTTTAAAATATTTCTTACAAAATTATTCCTTGTCACATTCTTTTATTTTTTCGTCTTGATAACTATTTGAATATAAAATAAATTAAAAAATATTAATAAAAATAAAAAATAAAACTTATTTCATTTAATTTTAAAAATATAATTAATTAAAATAATTTTATTCAAAATTCAACCTTAAAATTTTAATAATTATAATTATAAGAGTTTAATTGTTAATATAAATTTTATATTGTAAAATTAAAAAAACATTATAAATAAATAATTAATCTAACCATCAATATAATTATTATTAATAATTATATTTAATTAACTCATATTTTAATAATATTTTTTAATGTATCATCTAGTACATTTTTAATGCAAATAAGAGAAGTATTTGTTTGAGTAATAAAATTGAAGTTTATAATTAAATCATAATTAATTTGCATTTTATAAGGTTACATAATTTAAATAGTATTAATTATGTTGATGAGAGATAATAGATTATATTTCATTACATAATTGATTATGTATTAAAGTGTAATTGATTATTTTATTTTCTATAATCAATTATACTTGTTTATTCTATGTAATAATTAATAATTAAGGGGTAATAAAGACATTAAAAACATTTTACTATTTAGAGGGTTTAAATTAAATATAAGGTTCATCAAACTTTTCAAGCAAATCATCTTAAATCATCACATCCAAATTACATTTTTATCGGTAAATCCAAGCAAATCATCTTAAATCATCACATCCAAATTACATTTTTATCGGTAAATCCATTCCCTTAATTCTTCTGCTACAAAACATAACAAGATCCAAAGTGTAAAAATATCTCAAAATAACACACCAATAGAAACAACTAATGAGGAGATAAATTGGAAACATATTAGGTAAATATGATTGATTTCTATATATAAAAAAAAAACTTACATAAAGAACTTATAGATGTTACTTGATTTAATAACACCTCTTCGTTAATTTACCTAAAAAATGTTTTTAAAGAGGAGATAGTATTTAAGAAATCTTAAATTTTTTTAATAAATAATATAATCTTAGTGTAAAGAAATTTATCTATTTTTTTCGAATAAAAAATTTAACCTATTCTTATTATTGATAATCAATTACATTGTTTTTAAATGGATATATAATCATCAAGAAGAAAGTAATTGACTATTTGTTGAAATGAAGATATTTGATTAGCTAAATTATAGGTTTGTATAAGCTGTACAAAATAGTACAACTTACTTTATTTAGTCTTGATTTGTAGGTATAAAATACTATAAGAACATGATATATGTATCTACAAAAGATATGAATAAAAATTATAGAATGAATTCTATGTTTTTTAATTTGGTATTAAAGCTTATAATTTTTTTCTTTTTCTTTTTAAATCCTTGGAGATCTTAACTGGAGATATAATAGAAAAACTAATTCCAGTGGTAGTTCAATATGTAGGTGTCTTCAACGTAGGCATAATCCTAAATGAATCCAACTATGACGTATGGTCACAGCTAATGGAGATGCACATTGTAAAGAGAAAAATTGTCCTACATCTGTGAGAAGGTGAAGCCTCCAACAGAGAAAGATGAGGGATATGAAAAATGGTATGCTGAAAACCAAAAAGTGAAAAGATGGTTACTGATATCCATAAGGGCAAAAATCATAAAAAGGTATCTTCGCTTACCCACTGCCCTCGATATTTAGAATGTTTTATCAAAGACGTTTTATGATGGAAGTGATGAGCTATACGTGTTTGTCTTGAATCAAATGACATTCACTGCAAAACAAAATAATAGAACCCTAAGTGAATATTATGTGGAGTTGATTGAGATTTTTAGGAAATTGGACCATCGTGATAAAGTAGTTACGAAGGACACTGATGATGTGAAGTCATATAAGAAGTCCATTTAAAAATTGAGGGTGCATATATTCGTTGTTGGACTGGATGATGATTTTGAGCAAGTTCGTGAAGAAATCTTGTGCAAAGAAGTGACACCTGATTCAGAAGAATGTTATGCATTGATCCGAAGAGAGACAGTCTGACGAACAACATTGAAAACAAAAGATATAATTTCTGATTTCATAACTATGATGACAAGGAAGCAAGTGAAGCAATAAAAAGGTTCTGAAAAAGGTAATTACAAGTGTACTCAGTGTAATAAGGGTGGACACACCAAGGAATGATGAATAATTCAAAAAGAAATCCAATTGTTGTTGTTGTAACTGCCATTGACAAAGAGGACGATAAAGACATGATGCTTGCTACAATCGCAGGTAGTGATGATTCCAATGGTAAGACCTCAATAAACACATCTACCGTTCTGAATAATGCATGGATAATTGACTCTGCGTGTTCTGATCATGTGACTTTTGATGTTAGACAGATTAAAAATCTTAAACCTTTCTCACAAAAAAGTATTTCTACAACCAATGGTAGTAAATCCACTATCATTGGAGAAGAAACTGTCTCTATTTCAAACAATTTGAACCTTTATACTGTCCTTGTTGTTCCTTCTCTTAAATATAACATATTTTCAGTTTCACAAATAACCAAAACTCTTTTATATGTTATAATTTTTGGTCTGACTCTTGTGCTTTTAAGGACATTCAAACGAGGAAGACAATTGGTTGTGGTATTAGGCGAGGAAGGTTGTATTACCTGGAGCTGACAGAAAAAGATTCAGAGAGACTTGGTCAAGTGCTAGAAATAAAAAGGTTTCAAGAAGTGAGAAAAGGCGAGGATATTTGGTTATGACATAAGCATCTAGGACATGCATCTTTTGGGTACATAAATAAATTATTTCCAAATGTGTTTGACCAAGTAGACACTTCAATTTTGTATTGTGATGTTTGTGCGCTTGCAAAGAGTCACAGAATATTTTTCTTGAATCTCAAATAAAATTTCTTTTTCTTTTATGATCATTCACTCTGATGTATGAGGTCCATCTAAGGTTACAACGTTGAGTGGCTCAACGTGACAACATTGTTTGTAACGTTTATTGATGATTGTACTCGAATGACTTTATCATGTTTGATGAAATCTAAAAGTGAAATGGGAGGACTATTTTAGAAATTCTGCAAAATGATTGAAACCTAGTACAAAACATAAAGTTCAGATACTGCGCAGTGACAACAGAGGAAAATATATGCAATCAGAACTTCAACATTTATTTTTTAGTAGCCAAAGGAATTGTTCATCATAGATCTTGTTCAAATACTCTAAACAGAATGGGGTGGCAGAACGAAAGAATCATCATCTATTGGAGATGGTTCGAATTGCATTGATTGGAGTTCACATGCCAGCAATATATTGGAAAGAAGCTCTCACATATGCAGTATACACTATCAACCGAACACCGTCCAGGTCTTTTAAGTATAAAATACCTCTTCAATCACTTACAGATGCAGTAGTAAGCCCTAGAATTGCTGAACTAACACATAGAATTTTTGGTTGTGTTGCTTATGTTCACCTACAAAAGCATCAGAGAAGTAAGTTGTCTCCTAGAGCTGAAATGTGTGTGTTTCTTGGCTATGCGGATCACCAAAAAGGATACCAGTGCTACAATTCACAAACCAAACAAATGTTTACTACTATAGATGTAATTTTTCATGAGACATTGATATATTTTTCCCCTAAGTCTGGAATAAAAGGGGATAATTATGATGAAGTTCAAACTTTTGTTCCTCAAAAAATTGATACTGAGGTCAGATTGGAGAAAGGAAGTTACAAAATTGTATTAGGTGATGATGAAAATGTGTAACAATGTGATAATCAACAACCACATAATGAGGAAAAATTTGAGTATATCGAGATCGAAAGTTTGTCCATTGATGCTTATGATATACCACATCAATCGTCCTCTCAAGAACCTAATACAGAAAAAAGAATTATGTCAGATCGTGTCACTAGAGGTATCCCTAAGCCTACGTATGATCTTGACCTCACCAGTAAGACAAGATACTCTATGAGTAATTATATTTGTAACCAGAATTTGTCTAACTCAAATATCGCATTTATAAGTCAATTATCTACTGTATATATTCCTAATCGTGTGCAGGAAGCTTTAGTTTATTCCAGGTGGAAGGATGTTATGAATGAAGAGATGATAAAACATGGGAATTGTTAAATTATCCAGTTGAAAAGAAACCAGTAGGATATCAATGGGTGTATATTGTGAAATTTAATGCAGATGACACAATTAAGAGATTCAAAGCTACATTAGTGGTAAAGGGGTATACACAAGCATATGGAATTGATTACACTGAAACATTTGTTCCTGTAGCCAAAATTAGCACAGTTCGAGTATTGTTATCTCTAGCTGTAAACTTTGATTGGTCCTTACAACAATTTGACGTAAAAAAAATGTCTTCTTACACGGGGAATTGTCTGAAGAAGTTTATATGGAGCTACCAGAAGGATGTGAGATCCCGAATACCATAGCAAGAAGGTATGCAAGTTGAAGAAATCATTATATGGACTAAAACAATCGTCACAAGCATGGTTTGGTAAATTCACCAAGTCAATGCTTATTTTTGGATATCAACAGAGAAACCAAGATCATATCTTCTTTTGAAGAATATCAAATTCCAACTAACAAGGGAAGATATCAGAGACTTGTAGGGAGATTGATGTATCTCTCACACACCATGCCAGATTTAGCCTATGCTCTTAGTGTGGTAGCTAGTTCATGCACAATCCAGGTGAAAAATACATGGATGTTATTATACGAATTTTAAGGTACATAAAAGCCGCTCCTGGAAAAAGAGTTATGTTTAAAAAGAACTCCAACTACAAGGATGTGATGGTTTATACAGATGCAGATTGGGCAGATGCTCTTTATGATAAAAGATCAACCTCTGGATACTTTACATTTGTAGGAGGAAATCTTGTCACATGGAGCAAGAAGCAGGAAGTTTTAGCTAGATCCAATGCAGAAACTGAACTTAGAGGAATGGTTTTGGACTTTTGAAATTTTTTGACTCAGACTACTTCTCCAGGATTTAGGGTATGCACATACACATCTCATTTAGTTGTATTGTGATAATAAAGTTGCGCGCAACATTCCTCACAATCCTGTCCAATATGATTAGATGAAACATCTAGAGGTTGATAAATTTTTCATCAAGGAAAAGCTTGATAAAAGTATTTCTGGAATTGTCAAATATTCGATCGGAAGATCAACAAACAAATATTCTTACCAAAATTGTGACAAGTCAGATTTTGAGGAGTTTATTGGACAAGTTAAACATGTATGACATTCATTTATCAACTTGAGAGGAAGCGTTGAATTTACTTTATTTAATCCTGATTTATAGAAGTAAAATACTATAAAAAAAACATGATATTTATATCTAAAAAGATAGGAATAAAAATTATGGAATTCATTCAATGTTTTTCAATTTTATTTATTATAATAATTAATTATATGTACAGATAATATTTAAAAAATCTCTAAATAATAGAGTATATCTTGACATAATTAATTATCTGCAAATACCTGTTTTTTTTCTAATTATATTGTTTTAATGACTTTTGGTTTCCCTCCATGGGTAACGACTTATTATACTTGTGATATCATGATGGAAGTTTTTCTCAAAAATTAAAATCAATTTACGAACTTTAGTTCTTGAAAAAGTTAAATGAAAAGAAGTTATAAAAATTAATTGCATAAGAAGATTTTGATTGGAGAGAAATTAAATTCATTTTATATTTTACATCTAAGTGGATGCAAGGAAACTTATCCAAATGGATAATACATAAGTAAAAGTGGTACGTGGAATACACTGCGGCTTCTAGCATGCTACTTTTTTTTTTTATTATTATTGATTGCTGAACATCATACTTTATATAAACTGAAGCAGAAGATTTTGTTTCTCTTTTCTCTTCTCTTCACTTTATTTTCCTTCTAAGAACTTCAACAACAGATTGTGCTGTGCAGTAAGCAATAGCCTGAACAGTGACCATTGGATTCACCCCCAAAGCTGTGGGAAAGACACTTGTGTCTGCCAAAAAAAGGCCCTCCACCTCCCATGTCTCTCCCATTTGGTTCACAACTGAGTCACTTGGATTAGTACCCATCTTACAACTTCCCATCTGATGTGCTGAACACAATGGTGTTGCAAGGTCTGTTAAAGACACTGAACTTTCTTCTTTCACAAATTTCTCAAACTCATGATAGCTCACCTGCTTAACATTTATGCTCCTTCCCTTGTTATTATGGGTCCCAATTTCTTCAGCTCCAGCTGCTGCAAGAATTCTCAGCACCTTCTCAATTCCTATATTTAAATTATCTTTGTCCACATCTTTCAACTGATAACTTATAAGGGAGGGTGAATTCACTGTTCCTGATCCTTGATCTCTTGCCAGAGCAAATACATGAGCTGTTCTTGAAAATTTGAGCATTCGATCTTTCATATCTTTGCCAGAGGTCCATGGCATTAGAATGGAGAACATACCAGGATGCAATGCTGGTGTTTGGACCACTGCACCATATCCAGATTTGTCAAACTGTGCAGCAACTGTGGACATTGCTGTCATAATCCCTCCTTCATAGCTCTTCTTATGTTTCTCTGGCCACGTATCAGGTGAAGATGAATCGGGGAAGTATCCCCAGGCCATTGCCACTGGATGAAGGTGCAAGTTTCTTCCTATGTTCTCATTCTTCAAGCCACTTCTCTTAAGCAATGCTGGAGTACTGAGTGCTCCACAGGCTACAATTGTGACCTTGGACTCCACAACACCAATGTCTTTTTTTCCCTTGTATTCAATTGCAAAAGCCACTCCACGGGCTATGTTTCTATCACTTCCTTTCTTTTTCTTGTGCAAGACTTGTATGGCCTCACAACTTGGAATGATAGCGCCATTACCTGATTTCACCAAGTCCACTAACCATGTTTCTGATGTACTCTTCTTCTTTCCATCCTTACATCCCATGCAGCACCAACCGCAGTAGTGATTTGACGAAGCATTCCTAGGAATGTTGCACACAGGATATCCCATTTCTAGACACCCTCTTCTCAGGACTTCATTGTTGAACCCTTCCTCTTCAATCTCAGATTGGACTCCCATTTTGTCACACACAGCATCCATGGCTTCTTTGTACAACTTACTTTCAAACAGTTCTAGTTCATGGCGATCACACCACTCCTTGCATACATGTTGAGGAGTTTTAATGCTGGCCGACCAGTTGACTGCAGACCCTCCACCAACAGTGGATCCTGCTAGTATTAAGACAGACATATCCGTTGTTGCAACCAAACCATTGGAGAGGTACATTTGATCTATGCTAGGTCCTTCAAGAAGGGAAAGATTGTTCCTAGCAAAATAGCTTCCTTTCTCCAAGACCAGCACTTTATAACCAGCATTTGCTAGAACTCCAGCTACCACCCCACCCCCAGAGCCAGAACCGACAACCACTGCATCACATTGGATAACTAAAGAAGGTGATGACAGGTTAGAAACCTTGATCTTTTTAGGAGTTGTAGAGACAGAGAATCCAAATCGTCTTAGGGAATCTGTAATGATGTGTCGGGGGTAATTTAAATGAACAAGACCTTTGTGAAGAGGGCCTCTGACCTCTTCAGTATCATCATCTCTTTCTTCATGTTCTTCTTCCTTTGAGGTTCTATTTAAGAAGTGGTTTTTTAGCTGTGCTTTGAACTCTGGATCAGGTCCACAATAGCCAATTGCCTTCCATGATGGGTTTTCTTGTGCTTCATCCACCTAAAATCAAATACTTACGTGGTTAATGGTAAACACTTTGCAGTAGCCTATGGGTTGTGCATACAATGTAAGCCTGAAACACTTACTTCCTACTCTCACAAATCTATCTCTCACCTTAAGCAATATCATATTTTATCTAATTCATTTTTATAAAAATAACTTCATTAGAAACTTTATTGCAATATATATATTATATTACAAAACAAATTAGCAACGTGTCGATTAATTTATTTAAGAATCATAACATGCTTTTCAATTCCACACAAAAGTATGAAAATTTTCGTATAGTAGCTACATTATATTTATAATGAACTTTTACAAGTACTTTTAACATAATAAAAAAAGGTAAATAAATATTTTTTTTCTATAAGCTGATTTATTAAAACTCCATCATCAATTTCTCTCAAATCAAATTTTCAGTTGTGTATTAGATAGTTTTAACGTATAGATTTTTTTTTATTCTAAAAATATTTATAGAGAAACTCATACAAAAGTATCCCTTACCAAGTGTACACCATTCATTATTATCTTTTTTTCCTTACTGAGAAACTTATTTCGCAGTTTCAATATTAGGGTTAAACAGTAGACACAAGCTCGGCCCAAATTTTGTTAAAAGCATATGCAAGTGTGTCGATTGGGCCAACAAATTTTCAAAGCCTATGATACCTGTTTTTGGTGCCCTAATTGGACATGTCATACATGCAATTGCAATCAAAGAAACCCAAACCGGGAGAAGTCAATCCCCAGAAGTAATATAAAAAAACTGGATCGTTGGAATTAGAAAAAATAAATCCTCGGTTGGAAAAACTAAAGAAAAATAGAAAATTAAATGAAAAAAATTGAAAAATAAAATGAAAAGTATTATTATTCCCACTTTATTTATATTTTATCAATTCACCAATATATTTGTAACATTTAAAATACTAAATTGTAGTAAAAGGTTTTCAAAAACTGGAAACTAGAATAGTTAGATATACTGCTAATGATGAGGTGGAAGAAGCAAATTACAAAAACAAAAAAAGGACCAAACACAAACGTTTGGGACAATGTAGGGTGTTTCATTTTGGGAGTGGGACAGGATACTGAAATTTGGATCTATGAGCTATGTTTTGTGGCATGGGAGTGGTATCTTTCAGAGGGAAAAGTAAGTGAAGATATCCTCGAATGTATTCCTTTCTCGAGCTGGCATCAGTTACTATTCCCAGTATTGTGGGACACATGCAGTGTAATGATGCTACTAAACCAAGCTTTAGTTTAAAAACATTACGTGGGTTATACATGGAAACATTTAAGCAGAGTTATTATCCACAACCTCAAATTTTAAGCACAGTACCTGAAAATTGAATGAGGGACACATGAATGGGGACAGTATTCCTACTAAGGTACGGTTGGATTGAATGTCCGAGCTGTAAGTCACCACTTGGACATTAATTTGGATAATGCACATGCTATTCAAATGTACAATTATGGGTGAAACACCTTTGTGCCCTTCACTCTGAATCTCTCTACCCTACACTATTCCTTCTGTACTAGTTCATGTCAGCTACCAGATAACAGTGATACAAATGTTTTTCACCCACCATTGGGACATTAAAAGTAGACTTTTTATGCAAATACTTCCCTACCAACTACTTCAAATACTCATAATTTTTACACCTTTTCAATGGAGACAATTCTTTGATCATTATAATGTTTGGTCTTTTCATACTAGTATCATCAACGATTCTATGCTCAGTTCTAAAATCTTTATATAACAAACACTTTTACTGCATTTCAATTTAACCTGGTGGTGGTGCACGTGGACTCAGAAATTTTTTATCACACTCCTTTCAATCACTTGTTTTCCACTCTGTTCACACCCTTTCTCTTTCATCTAATAAAAAAACTTTTTGAAACAATGTTAAATACTACATTAAATATACCATCAAATTATAAATTAGTTTTTTGAAAATAAAAATTAGATTTAAAATCCATTTTTTAATAGTAGTGGAAAATAATTTTTTATATATTTATTAGAAATATTAATTAATAAAAATACATTTAAAGTACTTTTAATTTGTTAAAATATAAATAGTTCTGAATTAATTATTCTAAATTACATATAGATACATGGTTAAAAGATAATTTTAAAAACTAAAAAGACTATATAATTTGCAAAAAATAATAATAATAAAAGTTTAAAAGACTATTAATTTAGAACACGAGAATTATTTCAATTTATTCATTTATAACAAAATTAGGTACACTTATTACATAAAATTTGATGTTTGATTAGGGATTTAATTATTTGTGGAATTAATAAACTATTTTGTAATATTTTTTTCTTGATTTAAAATAAATCCTATAATTTGTATTTTATCTAAATATCTCCTCTAGAGTGAAGGGTGCGTTGAATTGAATCGGTGACAGAAGTAGACGCTGTCATGCGTTTTATTGTTGCATGCACATTATCACCTTCTGAGGTGCAAACATCTAGAATTTATTTAAATTCCTCCATTATTTCTTTTTCTTGGCTATTCAAGTCAAACACGTTAAAATAGTATTAATGGAGATCATTTAATACTCTTAATTATTTATAAAAAAAAAATTAAAATGTTTTCTCTCAAAGTAGAATTGATAAATAGTAGAATTTATCTCAAGTTAAAATGAAGTAAAAAATGTTACTAGTTGAGTTAAAGAGGATCTTATTTCCTCGGGTCCTCTTTTGGACTTAATCCCCACCACTTGCGTCACTCACTTTCCATATTTTTCTTTCCAGTCCCTTTCTCCCAACCATTTTCTCGACAAAACATTAATTAATTATGCTCTTTTTTTTATAGACATTATCATTAACAAATTAAGTACCTTAATTGTAAATTCCAAACAATCACAAATCAACTATACATTCTTTCATATTAATATTCATAATTCCAAAAATTATAAATTCAGTCGTACATGCATGGAAGCTAGCTAAATGATACTCAAAGGTAACATTTATAGTTAAGAAAAATAGTATATTCCATCACATCAATGACTTTTATAAAAATCTTTTTTAGAGTATATATATAAATTATTCATATCAAATAAAGATCAGAAAAATAAATAAATAAATAAAGAGAGAGAAAAGAAACTGTCTTAACAAATACCATGACTTAAATTAATCTTCCAGTTTTACAATATAAAAGATTTTTAGTCAACTATTAATATATTAAAATATTACATGTTTTAAAATGATAATAAATTGAAATTATTTAATTTGAAAAAATTAAAAATCGAACATGTACTTAATTATATTGAGATTAAAATATAAGTCAAAATGTAATTTAATCCAAACCCTACAAGGAGAAGAATGAAAGAGAAAGAAAGAAAAAGCAAGAAGCATTAAATGTTGTGTTTCTTAAATTGTGTAAAGTCAGGCTTTGGTATTTGGTACACAGTTCGATGAGAATGAGGACATTAATTACCTGAGTGAAGAAGACAAGGAGAGTGAGAAGCTTGATGGTCCTGAAGAACATCCGAAGGGGACGAAGGTAACTCAGAGACCAGTTCTGCATAACTCTTTGGCGTTTGAACAGAGACATTTCAGGGTAGCTATGGAAGAAGGGAAAGCTTGTTGAGAGACTCGCCATGCCACACAGAATCAATGTGCCAAACCATGTAGACAATAGCCACAATGTCAATTGCAACAGCCATGTACTTGGGTGCTTCAGTTTCTCACTTATCACTGTCCCAAGCTATCAGTTACATAACCCAAATGGAAACACAGATATACATTAGTACAATATTTGCATAAACTTGGAATAGTTTTACTCAAAATGTACACTGATTTCTATATTTTTTTAAGGCTAATTGTACATTCTTAATTGACCGTAACGATGTGGAAAGAAGTCAAGAGCATATTATGATTTCAGAAATTATCCTCACACAGAATAATTATGCACAACCCTCTTAACAGTTATAAAGTGTTAGAATTTTGTATGTGCATATATGTTGTTTCTCCATTTGTAATTTTAGTTTCATATTATAATGACGTATAAATAAAAGAGAAATGGATGAAAAATTGTTTGCAAAAACACTAATTGATTTTAAGTAAATAAAAACTTAACATCCTTTTGTGAAAAGATTTAAAATATTTTGTATATTTGATTATTTCGTCCAAGAAAGTTCTTTTCTTACTTTTTGAAATATTTGACAATTTTAAAGTAATTTTTGTCGTGGTTTAAATATTTGTACATGTTTTGTACTGTCAAGCGCTAGAAAATACTAAAAAAAAAAAACAAACTAAATCCATAAAATCTAAAAATAATAGTTGAAAAACCAAAATCATGGAAATGAAGTGCAGAAAAAGAAGAAAAGAGAGAAAAGTTGAAAAGGTTAAAGGTGGCTAGTCCTACATGCTCAGGTGTTCCAGCCATGGAAGCTGAAGTCTTGTAGAAGTTGGCGACAGACTCATCGGAGGAGCCAACAACGTTGTTGTGGACGGAAGGTATGATGGTGTCGCAGAGAGCAACTAGGGACTTCATCTGCCTAGGAGAGAGAGAGTTGGTGAGAGGTTTTTGCTGTTTCTCTCTCTCCTCACCCTCACCATCACCAACATCTCCATCGTCTAGAAGAAGAGTAGTGTGTGTATCAACAGAACCAAGCTCAAGCACGGTGTGAACTTTTGCCTCGTTCGCACCCAACCCAAACCCCATCCTGAAACTACCATTTCTGCTATGGCTTTCCCCATTGTTCTCCATACTTTTTCTGTTCATCTTTCTTTTTTCCCGTTTTCTTATGGCAACTGCTATTTATACTGACTCTGAGTGCTACCCTTCTGGTCTGGCTATAGGAGTTCATATAATAAATACCTGCATAACATGTACACGTACACCCAATTTCAAATAAAATGAAAAATGAAAACTGCAATTAATTAATAAGTTGTTTATTTCTTTTTCATACAAATAACGGTTCATCACATTTCTATATCTGTAGAATTTATTGTTAATCATTTAAAACTAGTTTGGTAGTTAGAATAATACACAATGCCCTAGAACAAAAGCCTAAAACATGCTTTTTTTTAACTTGATGAATATAGGATTTTTTTTTAATATTAATCAGTAATTAGTTATTAAAATATAATAATTTATTATCTTTAAAATCACTTTTACCATTTAATATATATATATATATATATATTATTAATCTAAAAAAAAATCAATTTGTAGTATATTTTATACGTCAAAGTTTGTATAGGTATATATAAGATAATTTGCTCAAAACAGATGTTTTTTTTTTCTTAAAAATCATAAAAATGAAAATTTGAGTGCATCTACAAAATAGATGGTGAATGACTAGGAAAATAAGAGTTTTAGTTTACAAATTTGTATTTTAAATTTTATGTGATTAAGAACGATTAAGTTAACTTCCACAACCAAAAGAGGGTACTTCCTTACTCTAAAATATTTGGTGCTAATTTCCTCTTTGTTGATCAACTCTGCATAAACCATGTGGTTGAGAAGAAATTAATGAAAAATGTCGTTTTTTTCGCCAATAATTCATTCTTGGTATGAAGAGATTGACTTTTTATGTACTAAGTTACCCATCCCTGTTTTTTAAATGTGTTCTAGTGTGGATATTATTCACATGTCATCTTATAGAAAATGAATCGTTAATATTTTTTTTTAAGTAGAACAATATATTATTTATTATCAATATTAATCTATTTAATAAAAAAAAATATACTATTGATATCATTTTATTTTTTGAAAATATTGCATATTTATAACAATATATCAGTGGGTCGATAAACGACGTCTGTTTTAAAATCTATTAGATTGAGATTTATTGAATAATAATTAAAAAAAACACTTTATTACTAAATTAAATATAAAATAATAAATAGCATAAAAATATAGTAAACTGAAAATAAAAATAATAAATTAATTTTATTTGTAGGATTTTTGTCAAAATATTTAAAAAATTATATTTATTTAATTGGTATTTACTATGTTAATAATATAAGATTCTTTAGTTTATAAGTAATTAGTTGAATGTTTTTATTTTATGAGTTATTTAAATATTAAAATTCATTTAAAGGGATTTGTACGGGAGAATATATTTAATACAAAAATTATTTGGGTAGGTAGAATATATATATTAATGGATTTTAAAAAATAACTTAATTAATAATAATAATAATAATAAATAATATGCTAGAAGAGTTAGCATTATACTTGTGACATTTATGTGTGATTAGGACTTGGATCGTCGTAGTTGTCATGATCTTGATATTAATATATAATTTTATACCACAATTTATTTTATGCGTATTTTTATATATGTTGTGAAATTTGATTGGTGATCGAGCGGTCAAAATATCAACTCAAAATTTATTAGTGAAATTAGTGGTTAAACTATGACTAAATGGGTATTAATAAAATAATAAAAATGGTTCCATGAAGAACAGAAAAATGCTTCATTGGGTACAATTTGTTTTAAAAACTTATAAATTTTATGATTAAAATATTAGTACAAGTTGCATTATAAGGTGTCACTTAATTTATTGTTGGAAGTTACACGTACACTCATCTACAACGCCATTAAGAGTATTAGACTTTTAAAGCTTTTTGGGATTTATTTCTTATTTTTTATGTTTCACCAAATCTTCCACACCACTTTTCTTATCTCTTCAGAAACGCGCCTTCCACTGTATCTGCTTTTTATGCGTTTATTCAACCTGCAAATGAATTTATTATGCTTCTATAAACTCCAGTACTTGCATGCCAAGAACTTTCTTTCCATCGTCCAATAAAATATTTAATATGTCATCGTAAAGAAATGTTAAGTTCTTTTTTTTCAAATAAGGATTTATTCAAAACATTCGAAGTTAACAACGTGCAGCAGAGATAGTTGAAACAATAAAAAATGTTGTAATTTGAACGTTAGGAGGAAAAGTCTCTAAGGAATGTGAAGTGAATTTTTCTTTCCATGAAATAATTACTCTAAACTCTGAAACATCAGACTTTATTTACCTTAACTACTGACAAGTTCATCATACTAATACTGAGTCTATAAATGAAAGAATTTATAAGAGACCAACTGTTTTAATTATATATATATATATATATATATATTTTTTTTTTATAATTCACTTTAAAGAATCGCATCAAAGAATGTGAATTTGAAATTCAGATTTTAGTGATTTGATTTTGATATGCATAAGATAGTTGGTGGGGCCAGCTATATTTAAGTTTGGGGACCCTACTATTCTGCTCTTGTATATGCTTTTATGATATTGATTGAAGAAAGCTACGTCTTTGGCACAAAACGAGGTTGCAAGATGGTGAAAGTAGAATTTTATTATTAAAGTAAATATTTTTGTTTGGTACTACATGCGTGATTTAGAAGAACTGAAAATGTATTCAACAACCGTGTCGATCAATTACCCTGAAACAGTTAAAAACATCTGCACTCCTTTGGCTACGTGTTGGTGCAATCACATGCATATTCATGCATCACATTAAACCGAATTTTAAAATTCGGTTGATTCAGAATCTGCAATTTAGTGTTTACTCTTTAAAGAAAAAAAATCTGGTACCATACCAGGTAAAAAGTCAAAAACATGTAGATGCAGAGCTACTACTAGGTAGGTGTAACCCTACCGTGAGGACCATGTCTCAACCAACGATGCAAAGTGTGGAGGTATATAATTGAGCGACACATACGTATTTATATTTGTGCATGAAAGACATGTTCCGATGATTGACAATGCCCTCTTCTTCATTTTATTAAGAGAACAGCGATTGGTTGACATCTCCATAAATATGACGATGAAGAAAGGTTAGGGTTTGTGTTTGGTCTGGTTTACATAGCAGCATTGTAATGTAGATGACAGGGTGAAGTGAGAGTGTCAAAAGGAAGTCAAAGCCCAAGAGCTAACACCGACTACATCTACACCTCTATCAACGGGCCTATTCTGTCATGGCCCAATGCAACTTTTTATAGTATTATCTAACTGCAACTTTTACCATATATGATTTTATAAGTAACTGCTAATTTTATTATCATACATGATATAGTTTCAAATTAGACAGCAGTGTAAATTATATTATAAATACATTTAAATTGTTAAGAAAGATTTCATGATTTTTCTAATGTTATATATATATATATATATATATATATATATATATATATATAACATTAGTATTTTTTTCTTTTTTTTTTCAATATAAGGTTACACGTACACCTTATTATTGTGGATATTATTATTATAATAAGTGCACCTTACTTATTTTCAGCCATAATTAGTTTTTTTTTCTTCACTCAATTTATTTCATATTTAAATTGATTTTTATAAAACAGTAATAATAAAATAGATTCGATCTCAAAAAAAAAAAATCAAATGGATTAGTAATTTTAACTTAGTCCATCAATTTGATGGATTATTTGCTTACCCACTTAAAAAAATTATTTATACATTAAAATAAAAATAAAAAATATTATATTTTTTATGTTATTGAAATATATAATATATTATAATATTATAAATTCAATTATAAATATTAATTAATTAAGTGTAAATTATTTATTATAATTATTTATTTTAATATGTAAATATAATATATTTTTAAATTTATCTAATAAAATTATTAATTAATATTTTTTATAAAATATATTTTTAATTTTTAAATTTTGTTCATTATTTTTAGTGCTTTAAATTAAAAATTATTTTGTTTAATTTCCAAAATTTCAGAACATACTCTTATTAATTAATCGTTATTAATGATGTTATACTAGTTGTTAATTAGTCAACATTAGCAATGACGTGAAATTTTATTTTTAAAATATTTTACAAAAAATTTAAAAGAAATTTTTTAATTCCTCTAATATAAAATTGATATTTTAAGTTTCTCAACTTTATAAATATATATTTTAAAAAATTTAAAAGTATTTGGTTAGTTTCTATTTTAAATTAACTTTTAAGCATTCTGATTTAGAAAAAAAAATGATTTTCAAAGTTTGTCATAGCTAACACATTTAAGTTGAGAAATTTTTTTTTGTTTTCTTAAATTTCTTTTTACTTGTATCAGTGACTTTGACGATTATTTCTGCTGATATATATATATATATATATATATATATATATATATATATATATATATATATATATATATATGTTTTTTTTTCTTCCTATCTTTTGATTTCCTTGTCATTTGGGACATGTTTAAGTTTTTTATTTTAAGAACAAAGAATAGTGATTATAATTTGTGTGTTGTTTTATTATAAATTTTGAAAATTCGAAATTATGAATAAATTTTTCTTAAAATATTATTCGAATTTAAATTTTAAAAATTTAAAATTATATATAAAATATGTTGTTATAATCAGTTAAAATATTGTTCACATAACATTAACGCTATGAAGCTTTTTTATATTTTCATCCTAAAACTTATTCATCAAGGAGCACTACGTAATCAAAGTTTGGAAATATAAAAATAAAATTGAATGAAAATTCAAGAGATAAAAAGGTTATTTAATAATAAAAATAGAATATACTTTTATATTTTATTATTTTATATATATATATATATATATATATATATATATATTAATCCTTTATAGATATATTAAGCTACCAAAAAACTGCTTTCCAAAAAATATATATAATTTACTATTAATTATATGCTTCTTCCACTTAGTAAACCATTGATTTTGAAACCAACATCTTCTACCCCTATCCTCTGTTTTTTTTTTTTTTTTGTTATCATTATCTAGCCTGAGTAAAACATGGAACAAATCCATTGTAAAAAGTAATTACGTATATATGTAAATATGATTTAATCTTGTCTCATAACTACCTAAAATAAATTAATATAATTGTGTATAAAGTGGTTCATATTAACTATTTGTGAGATAAAAGTTTATCATTGCATGTATTAGATATTTTAATAATCTCATAATGAGTATTAATCACTTGTTGTAATGTAAAATTAACCTTTCATTAGACATTTCAATTATACATATATTGTTAAAAAGCATAAGAATGGAGAATTGGAATTTGTTTTAATAAAATATTTTTCTATATCATATCAAGTGTATGTTTTTTGTTTTGAAAATGTGATTTTTAGATATAAAAGACGAGTTAGAACAGAAGATGTTTTTTATATATTTGGTTCTGTTTAAATAATAATAATAATTATTATTATTATTATTATAGATAAATAATAGTTTCTTTAAACGGTTTGAAATAATAATATAAAAACAAAATATAATCTGAATTATATTTTATTCTTAATACCTCTGATTAAAGTATAATTGATGTTTATATTATGATTATTTGTGTTATTTTATTATCTGTAGAATCTTTTGAAATTTTCTGTACGATGAACCAGTAGCGTGCCCTTATGCATGCAGCATAGGTAAGACGTGATGCGAAGCAAATAAAAGAGTTTCATAGTCTCTTTCATTTAGAAAACATAGGAAGACAAAGACAGGCAACTCAATTTATAAATTACATCAAAACATTCGATGATAATGCAAGCAACTTTTGGAATACAGACCAAAAGTAAGCCTCCATGAAATGAAAACAAAAAGACAACACATCACTCCACATATTATTTGCGCACCCAAAACTCACCATGCACACGTACTATTTCTTTCATCACCATGCGAATGGGGGAAGAAGGGATTCGTAAAGGTGAAAGCAAAACAAACAAAGCTTCAAACCCAAAAAAAAAGCTATGCTTTACTCGGTGGAGTTCCATGCCCCACACCAGGGCTATGACCAGGACTCGTCGGGCGGAAAGCATCACCACCACCAATCTCATCATTGGGGGTGTAATGAAGTGTAGGTTGTTGTGGACTCCGAGGTATGGCTGGTGGTGGGTGAATGTGAATGTTCTTCCTTGACGCTGTCAACAACCCAAAGTGGTGTTGCAGAATAAGGAAGAAAAGAAAGGTTAACACGATGGTTTTCTGTGCCATGAAGCTCACTAGCTAAGGATTTAACAACACTAACGGGGATTCACAAGAGCACAACACAAGCTTCTTGAACTACACACTAACTATAGCTAGCTGCTTCCGCTCAATGATGCCTTTGATCAGCTACATGAGAGATGTATTTAACGTGACTGCGTCTGCCCCACGTGCGATCATATTCCCTTAGACCTGGCAACTTGCAGCATAAACTATGGGTTTAATGCACATGGGGATGTCTCTTAAAGATTAATGAAAATGCAGATAAAAGTGTACACAGTATTTGGAATATTTCCAAAAGAAGATCATTGGCTCTCCGATGATTTCCTAAAATAACCATTCTATGCAATTTGATTTAGGTTACTGTATATGTTCAATTAAGAAAATGTTTGTTCCACTAAGTAAACCATGGATTATGTAAAAGAGATGTCTTTGCCAATACCCTGGTTTTGGTAATCATTCTCTGATATATATAAGGAATGGGTTGAGTTGCGCATTAAAAATTCTAGTCATTTTGATCGAAGTGGAAGCTAGGTCACTCCTTGGGAACATTTACACAATCTGGAGAATGTGAGATTGAGCGAATTAACTTTGTTTCAAACCGTTTCTGTGATGAAATAGTTGAAGTTACTAATTAGCCAAATCAATATGTAGAGTATATTGATGTCTTTGATATGCATGGCTCTCCAAACTACGTACTCACAGCCCTAATTACCAGAAACCAGCCCACCCAAACTTCACATCCTTAATATTCACGACTCTAATTCATCAAGTCTCAAAGCTAAATGTGAAAGTTGACTAAGTACACAAATTTCAATTTTCTTACAAAACCTTCCTATATATTTGCCACAAATTATATATATATATATATATATATATATATATATATATATATATATATATAAATATTGCTGACTAAGTTAAAAATAAAAAATAAGAATATATTTTTACGGGCTAGTGATCCATTATAAAATATATATTTTTATATGAATTCTTTAAGGTAAAATAGATAACAAATAATAGTGTGAAAAAAGAAAAAGAAAAAAAGTAACTAAAAAAAAGAAAGAAGTTAGAGTATTTTTATTTAGAAAAGTTAATTCTAATTTCATTTTTCTTTTGTATTTTGATTTTTTTATTATCTTATTAAATATCTATTAAGATTATCTTGTATTGTTATCTTTCTTATTCACGAAGGGAAAATCTTCTCCTAATTATCTTTGGAGGTTTTAAGAGAATTTATGTTGTATTTATTAATTTTATTAGTAAAATAAATTATCTGACTAAGTCTTTAGGGTCTTTTTACTTTAAAATTTAGTGAAAGCTGATTTCATGATTTTCTAATTTTTGATGCATACTATTTTATATATATCTTGAGCTTATTGTCATTTATATAAAAATTAAAAATCTGACTTTTTCTCATTCTTCATGTATTATTTTTTTTTTATCTTCCACATATATATATATATATATATATATATATATATATATATATATATATATTGATTGATTGATTGAAACCACTAAGCACATTATTATTCGTCTAGTTATTTATTTTTCCTTTGATCAAGGTATCCGTACAAACATGTTACAAGAAGAAAGCCTTAAATATTGTTACTAGCTAATGCCATATCTCTCTCAATTCAAAACTAAATTAATTTTATAAAGAAAAGCAAATTATTGAAATTTGAATACAAAAGGTGCTCAAACCCATACACCAACTTGCAAGCAGTTTTGAGTATATCACAATAGATTTAAACACCACTTGAAAAGGAAAAGAAACCTTCACGAGACGACTTTAGTTAAATTAAGAGCACACCATGATCAAGGTCAAGAGACTGATCATTTCAAATACTTTTTTTTTTTTTCTTCTTCTAAAAATAATGTTATTCCTTGTACGCCACGAACACCACTTTATAACATGCATTCCACATATTAAAACTATAAATTATACTTTTACTTCTCTCGAATAAGGAAAAACATGACTTAAATAGTGTTGTTTAGCACTTGTATCACTCATCACCATAAGCACCAAACAACAGTAGACAAAGAACAAGAGAAAAAACAAGTGATATCAAAATCTTCAATTAGGTTAAAGCAGAGTGTGCACAGAATATCATGGATTCTGTTAATCACGCCATTAATCAGGAGGAGATTTCAACGACATTGCATGCAATACGTTCTTTATTTTAGCTGCGTTGTTGTAATATGCAGGTTTTAGATTTTCTTTCTTGAGTTCAAGCTGATAACATATATAATGAGGAAATTTTTGGAAAATCTAAAAGTATAAATGTTGTTTATAACCTAATTGTTTGAAAGAATGTGGATACTAAATGTTTAATTAAGTCGTAGATTTATTTTATTGAAAACCATTATGTTAATCAAAGCTCCAATGATATTTTGTACTGAGCTTTAATTAGTGAGTGATTTAGTACAATCTTAAATGAGAGAAGACATGAACTACATGTACGCTTTATTAAAAAGGATTACGAAAAATTTAACTATCTAGTATTAATAATAATTCAGTCTTCAAAATTTCAATTAAACTAATAACTTAAATTTAATTGCCAAATGTATAGTTAACCGTAATATTAACTATTCATTAATTTCATTATTCTACCCATAATTTTTTTTTACTTTTTATGTTATTGAAATATATATATATATATATATATATATATATATATATATATATATATAACCTTGATATTGATGTAAAAATTTAAAATTTATGTATACTATATATATATATATATATATATATATATATGTATATATATTTTCTTTATATGTTAAACTTTTAATTTTGGATTAATAAAAAGTTGTGATATGATGTAAGATAAAAATTAATATTTAATAGTGGATTTTGAGAATAAATTATAGAATTAATTTTAATAAATAATATAAAATTCTTGCTGTAAATTACATTGATTTTATCACTATCGGATTCCTTAATCTATTTAATTTACTTCATTTATACTTAGTTGAAGTAAATATAATTAGTTATTAAATTAGTGAGATAACAACGAATATATATATATATATATATATATATATATATATATATATATATATATATTTACATTATAAACGTAAAACCTTGTTAAGTTACATCTTAAAAAGGTTAATAGGATGCAAATAAAATTGATCATGTCTATCAAGTTAAACATAGTTTAAATTTTGTCTTAATAAGGTTTTAGTCCCTCATAAACTTTGTCAATATTGTATATGATATTAAAATATATTTTTTTCTAATATTTTCAATTTTGGTCCTGCTGTTTACTACATGTATTTTTATATTTTAATATTTATTTTCAATTTTTATTTATTTATTTTTCTATTTTGATCTCTTAGTGGTAAATTATTCATTAAGGGACTATAATTAGTGTTTGAGTACAAACAACACTTCTAGTTAAATGTTTTTGTTTTTTAAAATAATCTCATGTAAATAATATGATGATAAATTTTCATAATAATATTATAATATATAAGTGATATTTATTATTTTATTTTATTGAATCAATTTTATAAGATTAAGTTAAGTTTTTTTAGTATGATATTAAAATTAATTCTAACAATCTTTTAGTTAAAAAAAAATCTTTTAAAGTAGAGAGGTATAATAAAATTTTATATTAATTAAAGATACAATAATATTGTAATAACATTGTAATATGTGAAATAAAATTACGTATCTCTTAAAGTTTCATTATATACGTGAAATAAAATTACGTATCTCTTGTAGTCTAATCGATGAAACTTTGAGACATTTTCATTGTCCAATGTCCCATATCTTCAATATTAACCTAAAAAAAATTATCACAGTAGAAATAATGTGTTACTAGTTATGCCAAATGAAAATATTTTTCAAAGAATTAATATATCTCTTTATATAAAATAACTATTAACCTCCATATCATACAACTTATCATTTCTTTCCATAAGGATAATCTACGTTTTTTTATTGTGACTAACAAACTTCTTCTTTCCTTAATTATGAACATAACATAAAAATCAAATATCATTAAGTGACTATATAAATGTGATTGTCCATATAACAATTCATAAGAATTTATTTATTTATTTATTTAATAAAGATGTTGACAATATCTAGTTATTAATATACATTCACTCCAAAAAAATATAGGAAGATTACCTACAAATTTTTTAAGGCTCACATTATATTAAGCATGTTGAAACCTTTTAAAATAGGAAAATTCATCCATTTGTTCATTGAATCCAATAAACTTTTAAAGGTGAAATCCAATATAATATATATAGATTTAATGAACTGAGTCATATAATTTAATTCATTGAGATGTAATATATAAAATAAATTATTAAGTTTTATCTCTTTTTTAAAAGATACACTTTTTTTCTTTAATTGTTACAATTTGATATTCTCACAAGACATATTTTATTATTCTCCTCATTTGGGTTTCATTATCAAATAAGAAATATTGAAAAGATTCTGCGTTAATCTCCATCTTCTTTGTGTTTCATTATTGAATAGAAAACATGAAAAACAAATTAGGGGTGAAAATTTTAACCAACACTTACATCATACGGATAAAATTTGTTTCTTCAAACAAACTAATTTTTAAATAAATTATGTGTTATATAAAAGAGGTCTATTTAAATTTTCTTCTTTTATTTTTACTCAAAACGAAGACAATTTAGTAATTAAATTTTTGTGAGTCAATGACCAACATTCTAAGTTTTGTTTGGATGTTGTTGCGCTTAAGACAAGTTTTTTTTTTTGAAATAAAATTCACCTTTAGTCCATTACACAAAAGAGATAATTATTTATTGGATATTAAATATTTAAACAATTAAAAAAATGTCAACTTTCCTTGAATAAATTTTTGGACTAATTAGTGGGTCTTCCATTAATTTCTTGAAACTAATAAATCAAAGATGCGGAGAAAGAAGAAATTGTAAAATCCAATTAATAATTAATAATAATAATAATAATAATAATAAAAAAGCCTTGTTGGAGTTTTCCTCCATCCAAAGTTCGAAAGCATTGCTAGCACACAACCTTTCTCTATGCTGAGTTAAAGCCTGCCTATTAGAGGGTTGGCAGATAGACCTTCAGGTAGTGGTAGTGGGTGAAGGTCCACTGCATCAGACATATGCAGATGGACAAAAGCAAAATGTTTCCGCCATTTTCATAATTTATTTGTACCTTCAAACAAAATATAATGAATCCCAACAAAATAGTACAAACTTCCCCAAGCATGCCGCAGAAAGAGGTACGTTAAAAGATGAATGAATGAGGCTTACAATGAATTAAGAAACCACAAATTGCAACTTGTATCTCTTGTGATGATGGATAATGACCTTATTTCCACAACTTTTGATGAAGTTAATTAAAGGAGCATTACTTGAGAGCATTCTGCATATATGCTATGTCACATATTTTAATTAGCAAGGAATCTCTCCTATTGGAGTGTGCTTGTTTGACCACCAGACTTAGTAGATACAAGTTAATGCACGTCGTGTCGTGGAATTACCTGTTTATAGTGGAGTCAAGTTCACTCACTATATGTATATAAATAGAAAAAGAGAACCGACATTGTCTAGATATTGTCGACAATCTACGTGCGATTAACTGAGGTATATAGGTTTTTGTGCAGTGTGTACGCCCACAAAAAGAAGTGTGGTGTGCACTGCCAAATCTACGTGGTATGTGGTAGCGGAGTAACCACACTCCAGCTCAAAATACCTAAACTTTTGCAAGTTTGAACAATACTTCCTAATAACACCATGCATACGAACTATCCCATTCATAACTAGAACACGGGGGAGAAGGGATTGATGGGTAAAGGTGAAAACAAAAAGAAATTGTTGGCAAAATTTGGGTAATGTATATATATGATACAAAATTTAAATGTGTTAGAGTCATTATTTATTAAGCCAAATAATAAAGTGATATGACTAAATTAAAGTTTTGGCTAAAGACATATGTCATGAAAATAAAATTGTGTAGAGACCATTGAACAATTTTTAATTTGATGAGGGATCAAATTGGAAATACTAAAACTTAAGTAATTAACCTAATTCTGGTTATTTTAAAGGGTCGTGGTCCCCTTCTGGGAGCACACACACAGAACGTAAGTATCAGTCCCGTTCCTTTCTTTCTATCCCCATCAAGAGAGAAAATCAAGAGGGAAATACATGTGCTCTTCAGGTGAAAGACCATAAGATCAATATAGTGCTCTACAAAGACATCATCGTTATGGCTAATTCGGATACGCTTTCGCATTTAGTTTACAACATGTTTATCGGTATGAGATTATGTTTATGTTTGATCGTTAGAATCAAAATCGGGATTATTATTATTATTATTATTATTATTATTATTATTATTGTTTTTCCAACAATTGGTATCGGAGTCGCCCATATTTGATTCATGTCTGTTTAATTTATAGAACCCTAATTATGAAAATTAGGATTAATTTTGTTTTAAACAATTCAAATTACCCAATTTTATGAACCCTAAGTGGAGAATAATCTCTAATTTTCGTGAACACTAAAATTTAAATTTAGGGGTAACATCCCCAATCTAATTCTGTTTACTGATGGAACCATGGAGGAAGCTATGGATTCTTATTCTTCTTCGTTTTCCCTTTTATTTCGGTTTAAGTTTCAAGTTTTACTGAGAAAGAAACAATGTTTCAAATTTCAATCTTTCTTGTATTGGGTTCTCTGTTCTTTTTTTGAATCTTTTGTTTTTATTTAATTTTATGGGTTTGAAATTGGGGTGGTGTTTGTGGAGTTCCCAACACAGAGAATCTTAGGTAAATGGTGAATGTTTCCACAGGTGTGATTGTTCTTATTTTATTGCCTCTATCCCCTAGGAATTTAAGGAAAATTTGATGTTAAATTAGGGTTTGAGTGATTACTGTTTAATTCTCTTTTAGGGTTTAGAGCAGTATGCTAAAGAGACTCAGAACTATCTCTGTTTCATCCCTAGTGTGATTTTAGGGAGATGTTCATCCTTTATGTATTGGTGGAAAATGAGGCATTTTTTCATCCTTTGATTTATTCAAATGAGGTATTCATCCCTAATGAGATTTTAGGGAGGTGTTCATCCTTAGTAGAATTCTAATGAGGTGATTCTCTTTTGAATTAGTTTGCAAATATTAAATATTTGGTTTTGTTATATAAATAAAATATTCAATTTTTTGTAGTATAATATTTTTTGTGAGCAAATTGAGTCAAGAAGTCACCAAAGTAACTTCTCTTGAATTGGGCAGTTCATGAAAAATATTGAATGTTAGTGTTTGTGTATATTCATGCGAGTATTAGTCGACCCAAAGGAAGATTAATATTTGGCCGAATTGCATACACACTTGTAATGATAAACATGTGATAATTATAAGGATTTGCTTTGTCGATGATAAATCAATCCAAAGATTGGTTTGTTGTTTGACGTGTTTTATTGTCAATGTTTGATTATTACAACAAGATACCTCTAGCAGTTAATATTATTGTCCAAAAACTTGATATTGATGGTGCATTGGGTGTCTTGAGATGAGTTAAACCACTATTTGAATATATATTATTTATTTTTTATATAATGTGAGCATATTTAGTTTATTTCTCGTGTTCTAAATTCAACTTACAATTGCTTCACGTATTCGTCAATTTAAATTCGTTTCGGTCCTCAATGGAACAAATTTTAAGGACTTGGAAAGAGAACATTGATATTATTCTTGGTTGCATGGATATGGATCTTGTGTTAAGGACTGAGCAACCCCCTACTCCTACGGATTCAAGTACCTCTGAACAGAAAAAAGATTATGAGAAGTGGGATCGCTCAAATCGCATGAGTCTAATGATCATTAAGCGCGACATCCCGGAGGTGTTTAGGGGCACTGTTTCTGAAAACATCACAAGTGCCAAATAATTTCTTACTGAAATTGAGCAGCACTTTGCAAAAAGCGATAAGGCGGAGGCAAACACTCTTCTTCAGAACTTGATCTCCATGAAATATCAAGGCAAAGGAAATATCAAGGAGTACATTATGAGCATGTCTAATATTGTTTTTAAACTCAAGGCATTAAAGCTTGAACTCTCAGAAGACTTGCTCATTCATTTGGTGTTGATTTCTCTTCCTGCAATGTTTAATCAATTTAAGGTATCTTACAACTGTCAAAAGGATAAATGGTCTCTTAATGAGCTCATTTCACATTGCGTACAAGAAGAAGAAAGACTAAAGCACCTCCAAAGCAAGACAAGACAGAAAGTGTTCATTTTGCAAGCACCTCCAAGGCTAAGGGCAAAAGAAAGAGATCAGAGGATCTCGAGAAAGAAGCTGCTAAGGGTCTAGAACAAAAGAAACAAACTCAAGAAAACAAATGTTTCTTTTGCAATAAGACTGGACACATAAAGAAGAAATGTGATAAATATCATGCTTGACGTGAAAAGAAAGGGTTGCCTAAACTACCGGAAGCCAATTGATTCTGAAAGATGGATTTATGTTGGAGATGGCAAATCGGTAGAGGTGGAAGCTATAGGACATTTTAAATTGTTATTGAGTACTAGTTTTTTATTTGGATTTGAAAGACACTTTTGTTGTGCCGTCATTTAGACGAAATTTGGTTTCAGTTTCTTATTTGGACAAATTATGTTATTTGTGTTCATTTGGAAACAATAAGTTCAGTTTGTCTTTTAATTCAGATATTGTTGGAACTGGTTCACTTTTGATTTATGATAATCAGTATTTACTTGATATTGTGACCACCTATAATGAAACTCTTAATACAGAATCACGTGGTACTAAACATAAAATTGAAAATACTCACTCAGGTGCATTATGGCATAAGTGCTTAGGTCACAATCGAATCGTGACGTTTAAGCTTGTGTTACACTCTTAAAGATATGATAAAGAATATGATTTGTCATTCCACCTTACTGGAATCACTTTGGGGAGAGACATTAAATGTGACAGCTTATATTCTAAACAGAGTACCAACTAAAGCAGCTACCAAAACACCTTATGAGCTTTGGATTGGGCGACAACTTAGTCTGAAGCATTTCCATGTGTGGGATTGTCCAGCTGAGGCAAGACCTTATAAGTCAAATGAAAAGAAATTGGACTTTCGAACAGTAAGTGGTTATATTATTGGTTATGCTGAAAGATCCAGGGGATATAAATTTTATGATCCCACATTAAAGATAATTTTTGAGACGGGAACTGCTACGTTCTTTGAGGATATTGAGTTTGGGGGGAAGAATAAGATTAAGAACTTCATCTTTGAGGAAGAATCGGTAACAATTTCAGAACCAATTCAAATAGTTACTTTTGATAAAGTAAGTTCGGAACCTCCACAAGGCATTGTTGATGAACCCCTTACTCAAGATGATTTGGTTGTTCATGAAGAACAAACTCAAGATCCTCAAGAACCTGTGCATCATGAGCTAATAACTTTGCAGAGATCCACTAGAGAAAGAAGAAGTGCTATTTCAGATGATTACATGGTATTTCTTGAGGAACATGAGGAAAATAATGATATAATGGAAGATGACCCAGTTAACTTCCGTCAAGCTATACAAGGTTCTAACTTTCAAAAGTGGATTGAAGCAATAGGATAAGTATAAGTTCATGCAAGACAATAAGGTTATTGGGAACTTGTCCCATTACCAGAAGGTATGAAACTCATTTGGCTTCAAGATGAATATTGTTGATGATTGTATGTATCACAAGTTTAAAGGGAGACAAGTTTAGTCTCAATCAGTGCCCAAAGGGAATTTGGAAATTGAGGAAATGCAAAAGATTCTCTATGCATCAGTTGTAGGGAGTTTGATCTATGCCCAAGTATGTACGCATCCAGACATAACATATATAGTTGGGGTTCTAGGCAGATATTTAAGCAATCCAGGAATAGACCATTGGAAAGCAGCAAAAAGGGTCATAAGATATTTAAAGAGAACAACATATTATATGCTCACATATAGGAAGTCAGACCAGTTGGAGATCGCTGGGTTTTCTGACTCATATTTTGTAAGATGTCAAGAATTTGTAACATGCTATGAGGCATCAAATCATGGAATATGGCTGAGAAATTTTGTCACAGGGCTGCAAATTGTGAAAGACATTGAAAGAC